GTGGTAAAACTCTTCTTTAAGAGGAGGTTGTCTTCATCTTCTTCTAATACCTTAATTTAATCTTCAAGTTCTTGAACATTAATTTGAAGCTCTTTTTTGGTCATCTCTAACAGTACTCGGTGTGGGCAACGCCCACACTCGTTCTTCTCACATGGAGCCATGAAAACAACGTTACCACGCCAACACACAACCCTCTATTTCGTTTTCATCCGTTATCAGCCTTTTCGTTGCCCTCGTAACGAAATGCAACGCTAGTTAATCGAACGAAGGGTCAAAAATATGACCATTGGTGAACGGTCAATAGGTAAAAAAAATTAACTATTTTTATTTTACATATAAATACACACACATACATAGGTTTAAACCACACAAATCTTCTCTCATCTTTATATTTCTTTCATCTTTAAAAAAAACATTTTTCCTTTCAACCAAATATGGAGCAAAACCCGAACACCCCGCTTCCAAACACAAACAAATCCGTCCTGATGGCGTTCGCACAATACGGGAGTTATATAAACCTACTCAGCACAAAATCACCACAAATACCGCCTCAAGGTAACTTTTTTAATCCCAACTCACCCCCAATGCAATTTCCTACACCCCCTTACATACAACAAAACCTAAATCTTCAACAAAACATTTTCAATATTTTCGCTTCCATGCAACAAACAACCACACAACCACCACCCACACAACAAACACCAGAAACTGTTCCCGAAACACAAGCAGGAGGCAGTCGGAAAGGGAGAAGGAAAGGGAAAAGGAAATGGAAGGCAGTCGCAGCAAGTGAAAAAGAACCTCCACTATAGTGGACACCGGAGGAGTACACGTTGGTGGTGGCGTGGTACGGGACTTCAACGAGTTCAACCATAGGAACTGATATGCAAAGAGTTGGGGTTTGGGAAGTCGTGCTCGACAAATTCCACGCGCTTATGAATAAACAGCCATATCGCAATATCGATATGCTTAGTAGCAAGTGGACTCCGATCAATCGTCGTTGCACCAAGTTTAATGAGATTTTAATGATACTAGAATCGCAAAAGCAAAGTGGTGCGGATGATTTTGATGTGTACAAAGCTGCAATGGAACAATATCAAATCGAAATGGGGTACGCTTTCGAGTTTGAAAAATATGGGAGATTGTTATATTAGATCCAAAATGGAATAAGGCGCTAACATTGGTGGCGGTACAATCAAAGAGGTCTCGCAATTCTAGTTTGTTTGACGTTTCTGATGCAAGAAATAACATCGACCTCAACGCCAACACATATGACATCCCCGACGACATCAAATAGACCCCCCCTCCACCACGCCGATCGATCGGGCGCGACAAAGCGAAGTGCACTCAACATCACACGGATGAAACTGATAGAGAGGCACAAGAGTTGGCGGAAATGAAATCAAAGTTCAACCAACACAATCTAATCTCTCAACAAAAGGTTAATGTGCAACGTGAGCACTTGGAGTTTCTTTGTAAGCAAGCAGAGGAAGATCAAATAGCGAATGATTTAGCACTTCTCCAAACTAGCGAAGAAAATATGGGACCACGAGAAGTGCAAGTGCTCCGGAAGATGAAGGAGATCATCGAAAAGAAATATTTGGATGACTAGTGTATCGTTTTTATGTTTTTAGGACAATGGTTTTTTTTGTGTTCCATGTTTTTTTTGTGTAATGTTATTTTAAGTTTTTAAATGTTATGGTTAATTTAAGATTTAACTAAATTGCATGTTTCATTTTTTTAAATAATCTAGCGTGAATAAAAAAAATTGAAAAAAAAATCAAAATTAAATAAATTGAAAAAAGAAAAAGAACGAAAAAAAGAGAAACTAGTTGCCAATTTTCTTAATTTGGTGTTATAACATCATATTGATATGACATGTGAGGTGACAACATTTGGGTGTGATAACTAGTTGCCCACACCCACTAGTTTAAAAGCTCCAAATAACCGCCCCAATTATACTCTTTAGGCGCCACCCTCTCCGCCAATCCCCACCAAACATCCATCATTATCCCTTCAACTCTGGTGCATTGATTGTAGTTGTTGTTGTCTCTCCTCCCGCCGTTTGACCAAAATCAGATGCAATTGGGGTCGTAGCAAAGCTCCAATCTGGTTTAAAATCATCACCATTAAATATATCATTGAGTTCCCATAATAGTTGCGAAATCATACACAAAAATCAAAATCACCCCCCGATTATGTTAAAAGATGCTTATAATTATACAAGTAAACCTTACAATCGAAAATCAAATCCATCTAAGTTCATCGTTTCAAGATAAAAACATCTTCATAACTGGATGAAATTAATAAAAGATCAATAGGAAAGAATTTGTCTTTTTATACATTCACTACACCGCCTACTCTCAGTGTTTTCCATTATCAAGATTTGAAAACTCCACCACCACGATGAACTTTCACCTTTCGATTATTCACCTTATGGTCCTGAAAAAAAGGTTTGATACACAAAAACGAATCAAAACCCATAAAAACCAAAAACTCAACCTCGAAAATGAGCTGGATCTTACATGGAAGAAAATTGGGAATATCAACATATCATACATGAACATACATGTTCTCGTTGCCAATCTTCAATACCTTTTGCTACTTATAAGTTACATCAATCGAGAAGAAAATAGGGTTTTGATTTTGTTTCCATGAAAATTTGAATTGGAGTTTCTATATAAACTCTTAATGGGGGGATCGATCGCCACAGAACACAATGAATATTGACCTAAATTTAGGACATATCGTTCATCCTCCCGAAGATGATTAACCACATGCTATGAGATTTGAAGATTAGCTACTTGGGTCTATGAGGAAAGTAGTTTTGAATCGCCCTATAGGTAGGCAACGAATATGGTTGTTTCCATGGAAGCAAGAAATACCTCTCTAGGCTTGATAGGTGGTGATGATGATGATGATGATGATGATGATGAACAACCTCCACGATATAATCAAAACAAACAAAAATAATGATAAGTACTTAGAAAATGAGGCTATTGGAAATACAAATCTTGAAAAGAACAATGGAAACGAAGGTAGCTTTCAATTGTAACATATGTTTGGATTTAGCAGGTGAGCTTGTAGTCACATTTTGTTAAATATTTTGTTGATGTGTCTTTTTGAACCATACAAAAGATTGTGAATTAGGTTAAAATAGAACCCCATTTATTTTTAAAATAAAAGTATTGGTCTAATTTGGTCTAGCCAGGGTCATAGAGATGACACATTACCGGCTGAAATTTTCATTTCTTTAAAATGATCAAATAGATCTCACAAAAATAAGTTTGTTCGCTCATTAAACACGAGAATAACTTAAAGGATTGAAATTGAATCATCTATACTTTTTCACCATTTAAAAAAAAAAAAAAAAAAAATACTGTCTAGGATGTGCACATCCGGAGCAAAACCCTAAGACCAAGACCCTCCCTCAGTTCTTTGACGCAAAACAATGCAGAAAATTTTCTTGATGCGGGGTCTTAATTCGCTCTGCGCTAAATCGTCCTCCTTCAGTTCACACAACCCTCACTACAAAACCCCTTCATTAGTCTCCTTTGCTTTTCATAATTTGTATACATCTAAATCCGAATCGTCTTATGAAACCCCTAATTCTCATCATCCAGAAAACGAAATTCAAGATGAAAATCCCGTCGATGTAGAGGATGTCAGCAGTGCAGGTAAATATACAACACTATTTGCATTCTAATTAATCCATATTCTCTGTAACGTAATTGTTTTAGTTGTATATACAAACTTTGTTCCCAGTAGCTTGGGAGTTTTTCCAAAATCATGCTTAAATTCTTCCAATTTCACCCATATCCCTCATCCCTCCATTTAATTTTTACTATGGTTTTGTGCACATAACCTTCCGTGAGAACAAACGCATAATCAGCTGTAGAAAAGAATGGAGGGTTCTGAGGCAAAAAAAGGACCTTTTTTATTCAAAGTTAAATTTACTTGAGTTTTTATACATTGGAAGTGATTTACAGTATCATTTTTTTTTGTAAGCTTTCCTTGGTCAAATTCACAAGTGGTATTAACAATGTGTCCATCTTTCTTTTTGTATACTAATGTTATTTATTCATTTGTTGCTCCAAATATTTTGTTCATCTATGAACTTGGATCTTGGAGAGTTCACCAAAGTATGGAGACTCATTTAAAGCAATTGTAAACTAGTAGTGTGCTGGTTTATATATAATTTAGGGATCAAACTGGAAATAATAGACAAAAATTTTTGCCACATCATCATTCAATTGTACATGTTATAATTAGGAAAAATGGAAGTGGGATGCTATGAATATGATAAACAAATCAATGAAAGTGTGTTGCTATTTTTTGCATGTAACTCCTAAATGCAAACACGGATGCAATATTTTTGGTTGAAATGATTCAACATCTAATCTATAAACTGTTTTATGACAGATCTTAAAACACAGATAGACAAGTTTTATAAGGGAGATGTTGAAGCAATACCAGCCATTTTTGAATCTATATTGAAAAGAAAATTATCAGGGAAGCATGAAGAGTCGGATGATGAGTTGATGAATGAATTCAGACATGATCAAACAAATGAAGTTAGCAATGAAGAGATAAATTCAGATTCATATTCAGACACTGATTCAGATTCTGATGAATAGTTAATGGATTGATATGTTAGTGGACATAAAATATATTTTAAAGAGTATACTTTTTTATGACATGACATGTATCAGACAAAAGTTGGAAAAAGATGAGATGGTTTGGGTCTTTCATATGTGGAAAAGAGTTTTTGTTAAGAAAATTTGTAGGTCAGTGTGAACAATATCCAACGTTTGGGGGTTCTCTTTGTAACCATGCAAAAAATTGGACACGATTAGAATAGATTGCAAATGCAAGTTTATCAGTCGATTTTTCTTATGGATATTCTAGTTATATGTGAAAATATTAATTCAACAATAAGAAATTGATTTTTTATATAAGATGTTAAGTTTAATAGTTAATAGGTTGAAGATATGTTAGAATTAAGAAATGAGATGAGATTTATTTTAGATTTAAAAAGGAAATTGTGTTACTTATATATACCTATGTTGTGGAGTGCTTAACAATTAGGTGTGATTGTTTTCTTCTAATAAGGGGGTGTTTGGATAGGGAAAAAATAGGCTGTTTATTGCTTATTGCTTAATCCCACCGCAATAAGCAAATTTAAGTGTTTGGATAGGAGTCTTTAAAAATCAGCTTATTGCGGTAGGAATAAGCTAAATAAGCTGATTTTAATAAGCAAGGGGAGAATGCTTATTGCTTATTGCTTATTGTTTATTGGTCATTTTACTCATATAAGCTGTTTTGTTTGCCAAACACTTAAGATGATTATTGCTTATTGCTTATTCCCACCGCATTAAGCTAATCCAAACACATTTTAAAAAAGTGTTTATTTCCACAGCAATAAACAAATAAGCAATAAGCTAATAAGCTAAAAAATATTTATACAAACACCCCCTAAGTCAATAGCTTATAACGAGTGGGATTCGTGGTTTCAAAATTAACTAAACTTTTATAGTAAAAACTCAAAATTATTAATCAATTATTTTAAATAAATTGTTAATTAAGAGATATTTTTTAGTTATATAAAATTATAATCGTTGATTTAAATAAATACGTGACCTTATAATCTATATTAGTTTTATTTTAATTTTTATTGTAATGGTATTAATTTAATGTAATTAGAGTAAAAATTTTAAATTTTGAAATTTGAAACGAAAAATCAATAGGTTGATAAATGACATGACATTAATTAGAAGATCAAATATGATGACACATGACAAAAGAAGAACAAACATATTCTTTTATCAGAATAAGAAGATATATAAATAAAATGTTTTCTTCTTACTAATTTAAAACTAAAAAATTAAAAATAAAATAAAACATAATAGTTTTTTATTGAAAACAAATTAGTACAAATAGGGGAAAAAGAAAGATAAAACGACAATTAAAAAAATACACAAAATACATAAACCCGATTACTAACTTCCTAAAATAAACTCTAAAGTTGTCAATCATATTTTGCCGCAATTTACCGTTTCTTCTCACACACCGTTCACAATAAACCTTCAGTCAAATGTTCATGCGGATTGAGAAAAAAAAATGCATATCTTGCATCTCTATCTCTCGCTGCAAGAGTGCAACTTTTTGTTTCTATGTTTCTTGCGTGATGCATAATTTTTCATTTCGATATTTTTCTCTCTTCCGACTCTGCTTTGCTTAACGTGTGGATACCGACGATTTCGTTGACGATATCAACTATTTCTAGCGCTTGTGAAGATGTAAATGTCGTTTTTTTCCTTTCCGTTTTTTTCCGAGGCGACGAATCTTCAACATGAACCGCTTCTGGGTCTTGGCCGAATCTTGGTGGAAATTATGCATCCGAAGAGGATGTGTAGGTGTTGGAAGATGCATCATGTTTTTATTCTTTTGGATAAAAGATGAGAGAGTTTCCGGGCCGAGTTTCGGTCTAAACTTACTAAGTATGAATAGTTTGGAAAGGTTTCAATCTATACTTATAAAAAGATTATTTGGGGCATTTTTAGTTATTTGACGATGTTTTAATCTAAAAATACAAAACATGATCATGGGCATTTTAGTAATTTGACAAAGTTTCAATCTAAACTTGCATGTGATGGTTTAAAATTTTCAGGCTGAAAAGTTTTTGCTTGTGAAATTGGATTTTTGTCGGTTTTTACAGATCCAAGCACAAAGATTGCAACATTCCAGCCGGGTTTTCAAGCAATTCCTTGCAACCTTATTGTTCTTGATCTTATTAATAGGTTAATTGATTTTCCACCAATTGAGAACACTATGAAGAAAGATAGAAACAGTTTCATTGTTATGTTTCTTACGTACCCAAAAAAAAATGATATGATCATTTGGAGGTAGAAATAACTGTTGACATATTTTATTATTAATGAATAGATTTTTTGTTGTCTATTATTATATCGCAAGTCGCTTACTATGTACTATTTATGTTATTTTAAGTTGTATTTTTTTTTATCAAATATCTACACATACAGAAAGTATATCGGATATTAATAACAATGTATATATTAGTTTTAACTAACCATTATAAACTTAGAGATAAAATCTAAACTTATATCTTTGTAAATTAATAAAAA